GTTCCTGGTGGAACTTGCTGTATATATTCTGCTATCTTTCATAACAAAGACTTGAGAAATGTTTAGGATCATTTCGTTCTTGAGATGCAACATTCTTAAAATTTATTTTGAGTAATTACAACTTTACAAATGCATTACTCAGTTCAATTTAGTGTTAGGATTAGTGTTCAAGATAAGCCTTTATTCACTCAGTCAAATTTGTGCTTATTTAATTAATAAAACTCTACTCTTCAAGTAAATTGACTTGTCTAAATGTATCCTAAAGATTAGTGACAAAGCTCATTCTATTAATGTGGTTTCAGATCTTCATTCACATAATGGAGAATTGTGTTGTCAGTGTTCATGAGGTTTATATTTTGACCTCATCAGAGGCTATTAAAAGTAGAAGCCAAAGCTGGAGACATTAAGCCAAGATTTCGTTAACTCCCTGAGATTCTGAAATGTGTTCCTAATGGAATCTACATGTGATCCAATATACACTGTACTTTGGTGATAGAAATTTTGAAACAGTTTTACAACCCCTTCATCCTTGAGATGTAACCATACTTCAAGTAGTTGGTGAAATAATATTGTTGAAATTCATTTTTATCATACACATCACCATGATAGTTAGTACTCAGATTACTGTTCAATGTAAGCCTTTATTTACTCAGTTTTGACATTACTTTTTGCAGTTTCTGTTTACGCATTTGAATTTACGATGCATTTACATGCAAATTGAAGATAATTTACTAATTGAAATGTTTGCTAAAGATGAGTGAAAATTTATTTGGTTTCCTGTCTTAATTCACAGAATGAAGACTATGTTTATAAGAATGTTTTTATCTTGATTTGAAATTTTGTTAACATTTTTGCTAACTGAATATCCCTTCAGTTTGAATTATTAGAAATCAGCTGGACTGAAGCTGAATTTCAGAAAGCTATACGGCCTCAGTTGCCTTGATTTTGGTCCCACACAAATAGCACATTTCTAATTCAATTATTTTCCTTACAAAACAAATAGATTTCTTCGTCTTTTCAAGAATTTAATTGCACATCTCTGTTTCCATTGTTTTGGATTTTTTGGTTGCCATTTCAGAAAACTGGAAAATGAAAAAAAAAATCATCACTTCAGTTTGGGTTTCAGCAAACAGAAAGAATTATGAACTTGTTTGCAAAGTATCAATCTTATTGTAAAAATTAAATGTTCACGTAGACTTTTTAGTGTTGAACAATTTACCACTGTATGTAGATCTCAGTAGTCACAACAAGACTTTGTAAACTCCCTTTATGTATATTCTTCAATTTGTTCCTAATAGAACATACATCTACTCATTGTATTCTGTGCTATCTCTACATTACATTTGCTGATAATAGAAATTACAGCTTGTACAATTTTAATTATTAAGTTTTTCTGTTAACTTCACTTTTTAAAGCCATGTAGGATCATTTGCAATTACCCAGATAAGTACCTACCGATTTAATGACAGAAACCTCAAAGTGAAGATAGGACTGGTAACAAACACCCTTTGAAATAATTCCACCTGAAATGGTATTGTCAGAAAACAAACATTGAAGGTGGTTTCAAAATGGGGTGCCTACAGAATCCAGTTATGAGATCCAAAGACTTGTGCATTATGTTTTCTCTGTTTTCTCAAAACGTATAGTAGCCACTCAGCTAAGACTTGAACAGAATGCTTGTTATGCACCATACTTGAAATATTGAGCACTTTTGTTGCTTCAGAGAAAAAAACAACGCAAAAAGCAAATGATCCTATGCACAATGTACCTTTAAGCATACACAAACTATGAAAGTTGATCAAGATTACTTTAAATATTAGTCTTTTAATATTCACTCGGTTTATTTTAAAAAAGAAGAAGACGTTTTGGTAGTTTTTGTTTTCATTTTAAAGTTTTTCATAGAAATCATGTTTACTGTTATTATTTACAAGCTTTGTACATTTGCATTTATATCAATGAAACACTAATGTGGATGATCATTTAATCATCAAAATGTCTGCTAAAGATGAGCACAAATACTTATCCTATTCATTTGGTTTCCTGTCTGAATTCACAGAATAAAGACTTGTGTAAACTTTACTCCCAAGGCATTATCTTGATGGAAATTTTTATTATTTCTCTTTGAAGGTTACAAATTCTTCAAGTGTGAAAGGTTGCCAATCATTTTAACAAATGTTCAAATCAATGGTATTGAATTTCAGGAAGCTATGGCCTCCGTTGCCTTGATTTTGGCCTGACTGCCTCCATGAAATGTCCTTGCCTTTTCGAGAATTCAATTCCATACCTCTGTTTTCATTGTTTTACTTATTTGGTTGCAATTTCAGCAAACTTCAAAACAATGAAAGAATCACGCCCTCATACAGTTAGAGTTTCAGCAAACAATTAGTCAATTTTGATGACACTTTTCAAATTGTGTTGTTACAATTAAATATTCAAATTGACTTGTAAAATCAGATGTTTTGAAATGAAATGAACAGAAATAAATTCATTCATTTATTCAGAATAAGAATTTACTTACCACTGTGTAGTTCTTTGTAGTTCTTTGTAGTAGCTCTTTTCTTCATCTAAAAATTAAAAAGAACAATCATGCCTTGAAATTGTTACATTATTCCACATGGAAACCTTGACCTCTAAAGAAACTCACAAAGTGAAGTCTGCTGAATCTAACAGAATCCCTCAACTCAGATGAACCATACAACAGAAACTGTGGAATTGGGTTCAAACTTTCACACGTGTTTAACTATTAATGACTGTGTGACGAACTTTTTTCTAGAAGTTTTGGCAATTACATATTCATCAACTTATTATTTTTGGATTACTTTGTTTGACACATAAAATAGGCAGACACTTTTATGTGTGGATTCCAGCTGGTCAAATAAATTTCAGATTTCTTGGACCAGTCTGCAAGTCTTCAGAGCCACTGACAATGTCAGTTGTTTCACCTTTTCATCAGATCCCCCAACAAATAAATATGCCACAGCGCCCTCTATTGGCGATGACTCTCCCTTCCTTCATTCCTGAGTGTAAACAGTTTTCAAGTCCTGATGAACGCATGCTGATTGAGTGTAGCGGGGGTGGTGGAGGGGTGAGATGCTTACTTGTTCATTTGAAAGCCATCCTCTCTTGACAGTGTCTTGATGGGGGAAGTTAGGCATCCTGTTAGCTGCAGCTGTGCCTGGTATGTCCTCTAAGTTGCTACTTGGGATCCAGTCACTGCTGCTCCCTGTGGAAAATATTCAGAAGAAAACCGAGACGATATATTGAGGAAAATATTCTCTGGACTGGATGACAACAAAAATTTTACTAATCTGCATGTCATGGATGTCCATTGGGTTTAGAAATCACAGGAGTCTATTTTTACATTACTGTTTTTATTGATTGGAATTGACAGTTTTCATATCCTTCTGAGTTGGTTTATATAGCATTTTATAATCAACAATGGTCTTTATAGCTACATTCTTCAATTAGAATCTTTAAGTACAGAGCCAAGAAAATTCGAAACTTTTCACAGTCCTGTTATTTATTTTTTAAAAGCCACCCCTCCCCATTGGGTGTACCACTGTTTGTTTGGGTAACTTTTGGCAACTCCTCTCATTTGATTTGTTTTGGTTTCCAACTGATCAGGACATAGTCGCCCCTTATAAATTTATGTACAGTCAATTCTGTCGTACTCCATTACACTCAACTTCCCCCAGTAGCACGGATATGCATGGACCAATTTCAGATAGACTGAAAATTCTTGATCAGTATTTTTACAAGATTAAAGAAACTTTTGTGTGTGAGAAATACATGTATGAAGGACTTGATCAAAATATTTTGACAGCTTATTTTATTTGATGGTTGAAAAAAAAACTGAGTGGAATTAAATGTATGTGAGGTGTATGCGATTGAAATTTTACAAAGTGCAGCATGTACATATAAATAGAATGCATGAACCTATCTAAGGTCCAAAACTCAAGTGTCAAGTAAATATGTACACAGATAAACCGATATATACAGATTGTACATGTATACGTATGCAGCACAACAAAAATCCCAAGCTCTATATATATAAACCATGTCACACGACTTGATAACGATGCTGTGTTTGTCCAGCGCCATCTTTACCAGATCTGCCCCATCAAAAGCCTCAACTGTTTGTGCTCTTTACGTGATAAACATCATCTTTAATAGATTAGACTGGGGATTCAAAAAAGGTAAGAAAATATTTTGAATGAGATTAAATGCTAGCTTACTGATACAAGTTTAGGAAATCACAGTTTGCCTGAAACAACAAAATGCGAAGAGTACACACAGTAGTAATGTTCCAACAAAACCTACTAGTATTGAGTAATAACAAGAGTGGAAACAAACCATCAGAGCACTTCAAAATGTCAGAGCTCTTCAAAATTTGACAGGATTTATTTGATGTCCTGTTTCAAAAAGGATAACTTTTGTCTGACTGCTAAAAAGCAATTGAAAAGAAATACTGGTCTTTCTTGCCCAAACTCACACGGACAGTGCAGTATTGATGAATTAATTTTATCAACTGAACGATAAATTCTCTTACACTCTGCACAAACTGGTTTCCTGCCTAAGGAATGGGTTGGGGCTTATGAAAATGTATTAACAAGTTTGATTGGCTAGTCCAGGAGTAACGTGATTGGATAGAGGCAATGCTTGGGCTGTTGCCGTGTGGTGAGGCCTACTTCGTTGCAGCAAATGAATGTGGAAACATTATTCACGTTCTCAGCTTTCAATTTTGATTTTCTCATCTTTAGATTTTCTTTTGAAGTGTACGCCATCCATGTTTTCTCAGCTTTCATTTTCCCATTAAACGTGTTTTAGTTTCCTTGTCCTTTGAAGATGCCTAAAGCCAATCGGTCAGCCTCAGCTCAAGCATCCGGGAAAGGGAAGGATGCCAGGAAGCTGCGCCGGTCACCTCATTTGTGTGCTATCCAGTCAGGAGTGCGTGGACGGCAGTCACAGCTGGAGGATGTAACGACTCCCGAAGTGGGATGCCAGCAGCAAGGTTGGGACCGAGCAGAGGAGCCGAAGCTTGACCAAGTTCCTGGACCGAGTAGGGGAAGTGGACCACGCCAACGACGAATCCAGGGTGAGTCTAAGGCTCTAGCATTGCCTACCATGAACACTGAACATTTCTAACTTACTGACTCAGACACGGCTGATCAGGTTAGTGTATTTGGTAGTAATACGAGGCATGACACTTCTGTCACTCACCTTCGCAATAGCCAGCCTGTACCGGCCTCAGCACTGAGTTGCCATTCTTTATACTTAGACCAGACCAGAACTTGTCGGGTCAGGGCAAAGCACCCTCATTTATCAAGTCCCGATTAATGTTTAGGAAACAAATATGAAGCGACAGGTACGTTGATCTGCTGCTTTTATTTAATGACACAGCCGCGACTTCTCTAGTCATCATCCATGAGAGAATCCCGAAGTTGGCACTTGAGAATGGCTCGATCGTCTGCAAACCAGATTTCCCCGTGAAAAACAAAATTGATATCGATAAATGGCTGACAGCATTCCACACTTTTATGGCCATTTATGTGGTGCGTTACCCTCTCCGCGTAGGTGAGCAGATCAAATATGTGGAGACAATGAGGATGGCTGCCTGCCTTTTTAGGGGCTTGGGATGGCACGTGGAGGAGGAACAGTTTTGTCTGCGCGAAGAGGCTAACCCGAGATGTTCCTGGGGGGCCACAGGACATGGAGTTGTGGGTCCCGGTGGCGGCCACTACTGTGTCTGCCAGTTCTGCTCAATTTGCACCAACTGACACCGTCAATATTGCGCATCACAACAGAAGTGCAGGCTTCTGCTTTGCTTTAAGCCAGGCCAAAAGTTGCCATTGGGCGATTTGTAAATCTGGTGTACACTGGATCCATCCCATCAAACACCTCAACTATTTGTGCTCTTTGCATCAAATTGGAAAAATTTGTTTTTAAGTGATTTGGTGGGAATGTAAAAGATGTAAGCAAATGTTGTCAGTTACATTCGTGTATTTTGAATGTGGTTAAATGCTAGCTTACCGATACAAGAGTAGGAAATCACAGTTTGCCTGAAACAACAAAATGTAGAGTATGTACAGTGGTAATGTTCCAACAAAACCTATTGAGTAATAACATGAGTGGCCACAAAACAACCACCATTTTTTTAATTCCATGTCTTGATTAACTTTTCTCTGGTTACAAAATAGCAATTGAAAACAAATACCGGTACTGGTCTGTTATGCCCGGTTGAAACTCACATAGACAGTGCATTATTAATTTATAATAAAATAAGTTATCGCTGTATTATAACCTTTCCAATTTCTTTTTAAATACCCTTTGGATACCCATAAAATGGCTACAGCTCTAAAGAACATCGAGTGTGACATCTGTCATGGCAGATATATAAACAGCATAAGAATTGCCAGCACAGCTGTTGTGCAGAATGTCTGAAGAAATACTACACCAGCCGGTATATGGAGGTCAACCAAAGATTTCTTGCCCTTTGTGTTGACTGGAGACAGTACTCTCATCAGAGACACGCATTCAAGGCCTCAAAACAAATTTCCATTTGATGGGGATATATTTGAGGAGGTCTCACACCAAGAAAAGGTGGTTAGTTCAGTGAAACAGACACCAGAAGAAGATGAGTCTAAATGCCAGAAACACAAGGGTGGCATGTGAGAGATACTCTGCTGAGCTTGTAACTGTAGTAAACCACTGTAAACCAAAACATCACTACACTGACTCTGGACAGGCTTCTGTCTCACCACAGACATCCAAGGTCGTCAATTGCTACTCAAAAGAGGGGGGTGGGGGACATACTTTGACCAGAACAAATGCGAGCGCAAAGAGCAAAACCTAATGGCGTGGGGGCCCCAAAAAAATGTATGGATTCTAGATGCTCTGTGGTCTGATCTGAGGCAAATGCTGAATACTTTAACCAATGTTTGAGCACAAGATCATCATTTTAACATAATTAATGGCGTGGCCCCCCCCAAAAAAAAAAATATTTATGCATTCTAGATGCTCTGTGATCTGATCTGAGGCATATGCTGAATACTTTAACCAATTTTTGAGCACAAGATCATCATTTTAACATAATTGTTGAGTTTGAAATCATTGACTCAGATATTCTGAGCTATACGTATTTTACAACGTTTATTTGCAGACAGGAAAGGGGTGGTGGTGGGGGAGGGGAAAACGACATCCCCACCACTTTAAAAAGTGGGGACCCCCCACCAATTGATGCCCATGCAGACATCAAAAGATTTGAACACTCTTTGTCCACTCCACCACAAGCTTAATTAGCGGAGGTTTACACAGAACGTCACAAAGACTGTGAAAGCTGTAACAGACAAAGCGGATAAAATAAGAGCTTAGATAACAACTCAAGAAACAAAGATGATTGACAAAACAAACAACTCCAGCAGGATCGCAACAGAACATATGATAAGCATCAGTCAATACTGACATTGATGCTACAAAGTAAACAACATTCGCGAGGGACATCCCAGGATATCATTATAACTGCATCTGACACTGATTTGCTTTCCCTCTTTCCTATCATCAGCAAAGAGCCAAACTCCTCCCCAGATTGATCCCAAGCTTTCATATCTGAGCTTCACCCCGGGTCAGAGGATTGGTGACATCAATCTGGGCAAGCTGGCCGTCAAAGGCAAGTGGGAGATGCTACGTGAGTTTGGTAAAAGAGGAAGTGGTCCAGGAAAGTTTGATGGGGTTGTAGATATTACTGCTACTCAACCTGGTGAGATTGCTGTGGCAGACTATAGGAACAAACGAGTGGTCATCTGCAGCAATGAGGGACAACACAAGGGAACCATTCCCCTACAACGTAAGTTTCTTTCATGCACATGTCCATCAACACAAACTTTCATAATTGTGTGGAAATTAAGTCTTCCATGTGCACATGCAGATCTGACAACTGAGAATGAAAACCAATAAAAAAACTGGCAAGGAATTGATGCGCTGGCAGTGCAAATTTGATTTTGTTCTCCCAGCAACTTAACTCTTCATGTCACCAAAAAAATTCTTATTTAGGGGGTCTGTAACCTTTAGAAAAGAGCGAAGTTACCTTTAGGTTGTTTCACAAAGAAACCAATCTGCCCTGTGAGTAGAGTGTTCTAGGCCTGATCCCTTTATTAAGCCCCCATCAAGATCAGCCTTCGGTTTTCTCTTTGTTCTTCTGTAGTGTTCGTGTTGGTGCTTTGCTTTTTTATGGACAATAATGCAGGCCCAGATAACCCAATAGGCACAGTAAGCACTGTGCCTACATGTACAAGTAGGTCCTACGAAAAATTTGGGGGCCTACATTGTTTTTTTTGTACACAAAATTTTGGGGCCTACGAAAATACCGCAGTGTGCCATTAAACACAAAAATAGGCCTACCCACACACACCCAAGTGTGTATTTGCTTACAATTGGGGACCCTTTATTGTCCCTATTTTGCTTGGTCTTTTTAAGACCAAGCAAAATAGGGGTTAACCTTCTGGGGTTAACTGTCAAAGTTTTTTGGTGAATTCAAAATACTGCGAAAGCAGCATGAGTTTTAAAACCAATGGAATTTCTCCCTTACGGTTCAAAGTACATTGTATGAAGACAAAACATTGTAAAACATGCACTGTTGTACAAAGATGTGACAAAAATGGTGATATACATGTACAATGACGTCACAGATTATCAAATAAAGAGTGATTTAAAGAGATACTGCATCCTGGAAAGCACCCCATTGGGCTACAAAGAGCATATTAACGTCCACACAAACATCCTTCCTAAACCCTCCTGGATGATTGAGGATGACTGGTGTTTGAAGAAGAAGAGGATTTTGGAGGATTGAGGATGGATGTATTTTTGAGGCAGGACTGTCTGACAATTTTGAAGGATTCAGGTGCTGGGTATCCTTCATTTGAACATGAAGTGCAATTTTTTTGAGGATTTTGAAAGAGGATGCATGCTTCCTGAGGGTTAGGGTTAAAAGTTGGCAGTGTGTGTGTTATTCTTGCAAGAATGAATTTCGGGGGTCATAAATTTTGACTCTCAAAATTGAGCTGTTTAGGTGCAGCGTGAATCCTGTCGCACACGTACACATAGTCTCACACACAGGATACCATATATTTGTGTACATTGAAATCGTCTGACATCATGGACACATATACAGTATAAAGCTTGTTTAAACTTGTTTGAACAGTTTTAAAACAAACATTTTGTTATTTCAGGACAATGTGCCCCTTCAATGTCAAATCTTGACAACATTAACGTTCAGATTTATAAGGTTCTTTTGATGTGAGGTGGTAGACATTGAAATTGCCTTGAGCATCGTATTTGACTCCCAGGCACAAATCTGTTTGACCTTTGCTTCCAGGGTTACCGGATATGCAATGATCGGGGAGTCAGGTTGGCGTAGCTGTACTTTCCTCGCCTTCCACCGCTGTGACCTGGGTTCGAATCCCGCCTAGGACAATATGTGGATTGGGTTTTCAGTCCCTACCTGACTCCGTGGGTTTTCCCCAGAATATTCTTCTGGGCTTTTCCTCCCACCTCTAAAACTGTAACTTCTTCTCATTGTCTTCTCTCCATTTATCCATCCTGTTATTGGCGCTTGCGCTGTTGGATGTGGCTAAAATAAAATTTAAAACAATTTTAAAAATATAATGAATGTAACTTGAAAACACAAGCAGTTTACTACAATAAAACTTATTCAGGAAATGTTCAATGACAAATAACACTAGACTTATGTTTGTGGGCAAACACAGGGCTGTTTCGGTAACTTTTGTTCGACATATGTGACATATTTTCAAGACCATCCAGGAAGGATGTAGGTATACTAAATTGTGGCATATAAATATGTGATGACAGTCTCATAGGGCTTTAAATTATTACATCCCATGTTACGTAATGACATCCTGATGACGTCACATTAATTTTCATCTGAAATTAACTATAACAACCTGCTGCTAGAGGGCGCTCTAACATTTCATGACGTCACCGTTAATTTAGAATAAACTAGCCACAACATACATCATTGAAAGCAATTCCACATATTTAACCAATTTCAAATAACAAGTCACTTCCAGTTTCAACAAGAAGGAAGGGTCATGTGATTTTGCGCATAATATCAAAATTGAAGACACTGGATTATTCTATCAATTCCCGCAAAACTCAAGTTTAGGTTTCTCACGGTTGATTTTATATTGATTTTCATAGATTAGATCTACATACATTAATCTATAATGTAACGTCACATTTATATCATCGTGACGTCACTTAAATTTCATCTATAACACATCCCTTTCTAAAAATGTACATGCCAGGTTTCAACCAAATCGGACCTGCAGTTTTGGAGATATAGGCTTTCAAAATATGAACCTATATTGTGAAGTCACGTGACTGGTGATGTCATGATGACACAGCAGCAGGTGCTGGTCTAAGCGTGTGCCAAAGGCAATCGGGTTGATTTTAGTGCCCAAAGTGCTGGGCACAATGAAAATGTGTACAAATGCTATGGACAAAAGTCTGAAAAAGAAAAAAACAAGAACAAAAAAATAACTTTAAAGAAACCTAGACTTATGTTTGTGGACAAAAACAGGGCTGTTTTGGATTTTTTTTGTGGCAAGTGACCATGGAAAGTTTCATGTATAAGTTACATCCAGGAACTAGTGAATATAATATGTGATTACATTCCCATAGGGCTTTGATTTTTGACATCACATGTGACGTCATAATGTCATGATGACGTCACATCAATTTTCATCTATAAATATATTTTGTTTGTAAATAACAACTAAGCCATAGCATACATCGTTGAAAGCAAGTTCACATCTTTCACCAATTTTAAATTTCAAGGCACTTCCGGTTCAACCGGAAGGAAGGGTCACGTGATTTTGCACATAATATAAAAAAAAATGAAGACCCTGGATTATTCTATCCATTCCTGTAAACGTCAAGTTCAGGTCTCTTACGGTTGATTGTACATAGATTTTCAAAGATCTATTAATCTTTAACGTGATGTCACGTGACCCATGATGACGTCATCGTGACGTCACTTCAATTTTCATCTATAACACATCCCGGTTTAGGTACATACCAACTTTCAACCCCATAGGACCTGTACGGTAGTTCAGGAGATATAGGCCTTCAAAATATATTTATTTTATATGACGTCATATGTCACATGATGACGTTGTCATGACGTCGAGTATTCATCTATAAGACATCCTGGTCTAGGTAAATACCAACTTTCAACCCAATCGGACCTGCAGTTGTGGAGATAGAGCCCATCTGTCAGATCTAGCCGAATTCTGCTAGAAAATGGTCACAACAGAAAAATTGCATATAATGTGACGTCACGTGACACATGATGACGTCAATGTTCGAGGATCAACTGCAGATGCTGGTCTAAGTGTGTGCCGAGTATAAAGGCAATCCGGTTGATTTTAGAGGCCAAAGTGCCAGTAACAAAAAAACTTGTACAAATGCTATGGGCAAAAATGACTGGAAAAAAAAAAGAAAAAAAAATCTTAACGAAAACAAGGCTGTTTCGGCCAGTTGCCAAAACAGCCAATAAAAACCATGAGGGCACCAGTGTAGCTTAAGTAAGCTCTAGCGGCATGTTTCAATAAGTTATATTTTTTTTCTTGGTATTTAAAGACCATTTGTCAACAATTTTTCAAATTGCTCATAAATATTCTTTGGACAATAAAAATACTTTCTCAAATTTCATAATGCTGACCTCATCAGACTAGAAGTCAATGTCGGGAAACTTTGGAAAAGATGCATTTAAGCCAGAAGTTACTTGACAAGTAAATAATAGTTTTTGAACGCTTGGACTAAAAATGCTTAAGTTCATTTTTTCCTTTTTTCTCTCTAAAACATACAACTGACGAATGTACTGTACCATAGTTTCACGCCCAACCACCCATTTTTTATAGACAAATGCAAACCTCAAGTAAATTCTGACATACAGCAGGCATTAGTGTACTTTGCAAGAACTGAGTTATTAATTCAAAGTTTTAAACTTTTGATAACTAAAAATTGCTCTATATTTTGTTCAATGCTTCATTTGAAAATCTAATAACTTTTTTTAGCTAAAAAATAAACAGTTAAATACAAGACTAAATATATTTGTAAGGTTTGAACCATGAGAATAGCACAGAGAGTACATGTACATCGAGGTACAGGTACAGGCACATGTTCATGTATTTGCAAACAGAGTCTCCAAGACGTGCCAGTTATTCACAACATGTATGGTGGTTGGAGACAACACAATGTTGATGTACTACTTGTACATGACCGGGCTTTGAGGCAGGCCATGTATTCATTAGGTATGTTGTATTTCATGGGGACTGAGAATAGTGACAGTGCATTTACATACTGTGCATATGTTACATTTGAGTTCTTCTTTACCCACAGGTCCACTGGCAGTTGCAGCCATCCACAATCCTGAGCAACGCTTGCTTGTGTTGGAAGATGGAAGCAAGTATGTCAAGGTGTTCAACATGAAGGACAACACTCTTGACTTCAAATTCCCAACGGTAGCACCGAGTGAGGTTGAGGAGACACAAGTGAACCTAAAGAGCACAACAGTCAGGACAAACGGTATTATTTTAGTAGGAGACATAGAAAGAATGGTGTGGACTGAACACAGACCCACTGATGGTGAGATCCTACACACCATACCAGTGCAGACTCCACCTCAATTCCTGGCTGTTGATGACGACACTGATAGAGTTGTGGTCAGTGGATTCCACACAAAGAAAGTGGATATTACCGACTGTAAAGGTTCTATACACACCACCATCAAACCAACTATCAATGGTGGGCCAGTGTGGTGTGATGGTGTATGCTGTGACAGCTCAGGCATCTACCTTGCAGTGGACCAAGGTGCAGCTGGCACTGGTCATATTCACCACTATGACCAAGATGGCAGGTTTCTTGATTGCGTGGATCAGGGTCTGTGTTTCCCACTTGGAATCACATTCACATCCAATGGCCAGCTGGCAGTGGCTGAACACTACTTCATCAAGATGTATCACAAGGTGTGATGTCATCCAACATGACATTGGCTAGCAATCATCATCATCCCAACAGCAAATGTTGAGGATGAAATTGTCCAGTCATTACAGCACCAATCAACATTCATGTCCCAGTCATATCACATCTCTCCTCAAAAATCCAAACTGCCAGATCCCTCTGATGTGAACCATTTTACCATACAAATTCTTAAATAAACAGTGCATCAATTACATTTTGTTACTATACAAAGTCTTATATAAACAGTGATTTGACTACAGCTACATTAGATTTGATTGGGGGACAATTTGTTTTAATCTTACATGCATGATGACTTGAATCTATTGTTTGTCTAAATTAAAAGGTAAATTTGAAAGGAGAGGGGAGTTTAGTGGGTGTTGAGGAGTTTGAATGTAATGACCCCCGCCTCCTCAACCCAACACCCCTCCCTCACCCAGTACATGGATTGCCATCAATCTATCCAATACTTACCAACTTTCTGTGGTGTTTATAAAACCCCGGCTTCCTTGTGGCTTCCGCTTCATCTCTGGCTCTAGATTCCTAAGAATCCTACCACATTCAAACTCAGTGAAAATGCACCAACCAACCATTGGCCTTGTGTGACAAGATTTTGTGTCTGTAATGAAGAAAATGGACCAATATAAAGTTTACATCAGCGTACAAAAATCATGAATCCCAAAGTCAAAGCCAGGGACAAAGCCAAGATTTCATAAACACAATTAAGATTCTTAAATTGTTCCTGATGGAAGTTGCTGTATATATTCTGCTATCTTTATAAACAAGACTTGAGAAATGTTTAGGATCATTTCGTTCTTGAGATTTAACATTCTTAACATTTATTTTGAATAATTATAACTTTACAAATGCATTACTCAGTTCAATTTTGTGTTAGGATTAGTGTTCAAGATAATGCATTACTCAGTTCAAATATGTGCATATTAGTGTTTAAGATAAGCCTTTATTCACTCAGTTAATTTTGTGTTACTTTTTTGCAGTTTCATGTACAGATTTAATTAATAAAACGCTGCTTTACAAGTCAATTGGCTTGTCCAAATGTATCCTAAAGATGAGTGACAAAGCTCATTCTATTAATGTGGTTTCAGATCTTCATTCACAGAATGGAGAATTGTGTTGACAGTGTTCATGAGGTTTATTTCTTGACCTCATCAGAGGCTTTAAATAGTACAAGCCAAAGCTGGAGACATAGCCAAGATTTCGAAAACTCCCTGGGATTCTGAAAATGGTTCCTAATGGAAAATCTACATGTAATCCATTATGTATTGTGCTTTTTAATAAAACTTTTGAGACAGTTTTACAAGCACTTCATCCTTGAGAAGTATTTTGTGATATACATTTTAAGCATGTACGTTCAGCACGACAGTTAGTACTCAGATTACTGTTCAATAAGCCTTTATTTACTCAGTTTTGACATTACTTTTTGCAGTTTCCGTTTACACATTTGAATTTACGATACGCTTACATGTATATTGAAGATAATTTACTCATTGAAATGTTTGCTAAAGATGAGTGAAAATTAATTTGGTTTCCTGTCTTAATTCACAGAATTAAGACTCATGTTTATCAGAATGTTTTTATCTTAATTTCAAATTTTGTTGACATTTGTTCTCAGACTGTCAAATATCCCTTCAGTTTGAATGATTAGAAATCAATTCGACTGAAGCTGAATTTCAGAAAGCTATACGGCCTGAGTTGCCTTGATTTTGGCCTGACTGCCACCTTGAAAAGGTCCCACACGTGTGGGACCTTTGTGGGACCTTTTCAAGGTGGCACACAAATAGCAAATTTCTAATTCACGTTTTTCGTCACAATCCATTTCAGAAAACTTGAAAATGAACAAAAATCATCAATTCAGTTTGTGTTTTAGCAACAATTATTTATTTGTTGCAAAGTATAAATCTTTTGTAAAAAAAAATAAATGTTCAAGTAGACTTTTAAGAGTTTAACAATTCACCACTGTATGTAGATCTTAGTAGTCACAACAAGACTTTGTAAATTCCCTTTATGTGTATATTCTTCAATTTGTTCCTAATAGAACATATACATCTACTCATTGTATACTGTGCTATCTTTACATTACATTTTCTGATAATAGAAATTACAGCCTGTACGTTTAATTATTCTGTATTTCTGTTAACTTCACTTTTTAAAGCCATGTAGGATCATTTGCAATTACCCAGATAAGCACCTACCGATTTAATGACAGAAACTTCAAAGTGAAGAACTATAGGACTGGTAACAAACACCCTGTGAAATAATTCCACCTGAAATGGTATTGTCAGAAAACAAACATTGAAGGTGGTTTCAAAATGGGGTGCCTACAGAATCCAGTTACGAGATCCAAAGGCTTGTGCATTATGTTTTCTCTGTTTTCTCCAATTTACATAGTAACCACTCAGCTAAGACTTGAACAGAATGCTTGTTATGCACCCTACTTAAAATATTGAACACTTTTGTTGCCTCGGGAAAAAAAAAAAAAAAACCTGCAAAGAGCAAATGATCCTATGCACAATATACCTTTACACAATCAAAATTAATCAAGATTACTTTAAAAATTAGTCTTTTAATATTCACTAAGTTTCTTAAAAAAAAACCTTTTCGTACATTTTTGCAAACTTTACTCACAAGGGATTATCTTGATGGAAATTTTTACTATTTTCTTTGAAGGTTACAAATTTCAAGTGTGAAGGTTGCCAAACATTTTAACAAATTTTCAAATCAATGGTATTGAATTTCAGGAAGCTATGGCCTCCGTTGCCTTGGTTTTTGCCTGACTGCCTCCTTGAAATGTCCTTGCCCTTTCAAGAATTAAATTCCAGATCTCTGTTTTCATTGTTGTACCTATTTGGTTGCCATTTCAACTTGAAATTAATGAAAACAATTATACTAATCACTGCAGTTTTTAGGTTTAACAAAGAATTATAAATTTTCAAGAAACTTTTCAAATTCTACTGTAATTAATTCTATTCAAATTTAATGTATAATTTTGAAATGAGCAGAAATAAATGCATTCATCCTTTTTCATGTTTTTAGTCCCTGGGATAAGGCCATTTATTAGCAAAATTGTATGATTAGTCTTTTAAATATTATTTTGTTGAACTAAACCTTATGACATCCCAAACTCTGACTTGCACAGCTGGTATTTGTGCCTTCCAGCTCAAACAACTGTAATCTCTGATGCTAAATTTGTGGAAAACATCTTAAAATAATGTTTTGGGCCACTGCTCTCACCAAAAATGGCTTCATCGTGACCTGTTTTCTCTTTTTACCATCTTGATAGGATGGGTAAACATGGCTGGTCCCAATTGTATCCACATTGGTGGTTTCTGAAGGCATATTGCTTTAAAGGACAGCCACGAAACTCTGTGACTTTACCCTATTTGGGGACACTTGTAATGAGTTCAAAACACATACACATCTAGTTATTCTTTACTCTAAACATGCCAGCTAGCTTGGTGAACAAAGTGGATTTTCATGAGTCTTGCGGGAAAGGGGTCCAGAAGTAGGCTTGCGACTATGGTTTCTCAACTTACTTTCTCTCTATTAAAGTGAAGCCCTTTTCACACTAGACAAATCTCGGGGTTGACGTAGGGTTGAAAACATGTATCGTTTCACACTTTAAGAATTTCAACCATGTGTCAACCCTGAGATTGATTTCACCACGGGTTGAACTCAACCCTGCTCCTGACCAGGGTTGAGATTTTCAACCCAGGTTGAAATTTTGGCCAGGGTTCAAAACAGTAGTACCTGAGCATGACAAGCTTGATTTGCATGAAACAAGTGTGAAATGATGTGGGGTTGAACACAGGGTTGAAATAAAAAACTCAACCCAGGGCGGCACTGGGTTCACCCAGGGTTGAGTTCAACCCAGGTTGAGAGGCTCTAGTGTGAAAAGGGCTGAAAAGTTGGTTCTAGTTGCCCCATCTCCCCTCCCTCTAAAAAAGTCAAACCCCCCCCCTCCCCCCCTCCCCATGAATGGGGCAACTTAATAAATGATCACGTTGGGCTTACCGAGAAGTGACTGCTTGTAGTGACGGCCATCCCACACGGTTGCATCCTTTCCACACGACCGCCATACAGGACTGCTTTGGCTGATTCCCAATTTTCAGGGGTCAAATAGCATCATTCAAAGTCTGTTGGTAACAAAATCAGAGTCTATAATGCTTCGGCATGAAATAGTGCAAGGATGGATGATCAAGTCAAATGGAACATTTGTCAGTGAAATAAATGTTTTCACTCTTTCTTTTGTTCAGTTTGAGGTCGATTATTAGCTTCATGAATGACTGCTGCATGGTATTTGGTATGGATTAGGGAATTTGGGTTGGGATAATCAGCCTGAAACATTACCCAAAAAACCCTGAAACTACCCTTAAAATTACCCCCTTTCAAAAATGTGGGTTTTTTTATGTTTCAGACCAAATCCAACATTTTTTAATTTGTCTCATAAAAAAAAAAAAACAACTCTGAATTCAGGTTAACCTAAAAAGTGGCATCCTAGATTAACAGAGGGAAAATGGACTATTTTGGAATACACTGGAGATATATGGTCTCTTACGATCTAGATTTTTTAACGTAGTTGTGCCTCTAGCTCTAATTGCAATAAGCATTGGAGCTGAAGTTACTAACAGTGAAACGCCGCTATAACAAACATGGTGGAGTCAACAGACAGTATTCGTTATAGTGGTTGTTCGTTATAGCATGGTTATATTGATTTTGCATTAATATAATAAAATTTACTATTTTTGGAGCCCATGGGGATTATTTGTTATAGTCAAATAATGTTTGTTATAGTGGTGTTCGTTATACAATGCCACGTTCAAGGCTAATTCTATACATTTGTATATAGTGGCGTTTCACTGCATGAGATATGGATTAAAGAATCTTGGTTGGGATACTAGAGGGAAAATGGACAATTTTTGCAATACTGGGGGATACATGGTCCCAGATTTCGGGCCTCTTATGATCTAGTTTTTTTAAGGTAGTTCTGCCTCCAGCTCTAATTTAATGCGATAAATAAGCATTGGAGCTGGAGTTACTCAAGTTAACTCAAGCTATATGCATCCAAATAAAAAAAAAGATAGTGGATATTTTGTCGGAGGTAATGCCGGCGAACTAACGTTTACTAAAGGTTTGCCGGCGGCAATCATCTATCAACAGAGGGCGCAGTACTCTTTAGATAGGGCTGAATTATAAAATGTATTAAATTCCCACCAAAAGTTGTGTAGCACACTTGGTGTAGTGGTTAAGCAACGGCCCTTGTGAGAGGGATGACCCGGATTCGATCCCGATCCCTGCCACATTTCTCAGGTTTTTTGGGGGGGGGGATGGCCCCAATTAAATAAGAATATCCTTCTTTTGTTATTTTAACATGTCTCAAACATTTTATTGCAGAGTATTACATTTTCTTTTTCAGATTTGTGGCTCTGGAGGATTTAATAAAGTCCGAAATTATAAAATGGTCTGATTCCTATCTTGTGAATACGAAGTTACAACGATAATATTGGTCTGATTCCTATCTTGTAAATACGAAGTTACAACGATAAAATTGGCATGGAGCCAGACTAAAATTTGTCACCGGAAAATGTTTAAGTACCAAAAAACAGTAGGCCTAACTGCACATGTTCAGTGCATATTCCGCAAACTAACGTTTGGCCGTCTCCGGCAAAATATCCACTGCCATAAAAAAATGATTTTCTGACAAACTTTTAGTCCAAGTAACTTGGACCCAACTTCTCGCCTTTTTAACATTCGGGCATGGTCTAGCGATAGTGGGGTCCAAGCTAATGGTTTATGCAGAGCAACACAATTCTGTCACTGACCCAAAAACCCAACATTGCCCAACAAAAACATCAGATTTCACCCTCAAAACGGCCTCCAAATTACTAAATACGCCACCTGAGGTACAATTAGACATCGATAATTAAGATGGTTGTACTGAAGTTTACTTACGATCCAGATGAAAAGTGAAATTTTCCGTTCAATTCCGAGAGCTTCCCTCACGATCGTGAACACTTTAATTTTCCGATTCATGTTAATGTTTGAACGACACGATGTCGTCTTCATGCCCACGTACATTCGATGGTTCCTGTATCCCGAGTACGATTTCGTTACCGAGCGCGCGCCATGCATCGATTATCGATCATGATGAGTAGAAAATTTCACATCGATCTTGAGCGGAGCTCTCGGTATTGAATGGGAATTTTCACTTTTCACCCGGATTGTAAGTAAACTTCAGTACAACTACAAGCATCTTAATTA